CTCAAAGGGCCCCGCCCCCCCCCCCCCCCCCCCCCGGGGCGCCACTATCATACCAGTCCAGTCCGTTTCTTCAGGAGTCCAAGGGGATTCAAGGTCCCTCTCCCAGAGCTCGGCGCCATGGCCGGCGGCTGGGGGAACTTGAGAGGCCCATCCTGGAACAGGTGCAACAGCTGGAACAACTGTGCAGCTGTTGTCCAGCTCAGCACAGCAGCCTGGAGCCAGTGAGTGAGGCAGAGACCTCTACTGGTGGGAGAGAGGAGGTGCAGAAGCGCCTGGTTGTCAGAGAATGGCCCAGGACTGAGAGGGACCTTGGGGGCTGGACTTTAGACCTTTGCTGAGATGCCCCCCACACACACACACTCTCACGCACATCTGGCCATGAATATGGGGATGCAAATAAGCTGAACGGCGGGACAGGGTCCCCACTGGTGTGTCTCCCTTTATACCCACTGCCCCAGGCCCTCCAGGCCCTCTAGTCTCCACTCCTCCCTGGTAGAGCAGGAGTACCCACCCTACCCTAACTCCTTTTCCAAAGGTCAGAGTGGATGAGGCGGCAACATCCTTGGATCCTGGGCTGCTAAAGGTAAATGGTCCTCACTGATCATCGGAGTCTAAGCATCTCGTCTCAGCTGAGAGGCAGAGAAAGGTGGCCTCACAGACAGACTCTGTGGCCGAGCCAGGGCCAGAAGCCTGTCCCTCTGATTCTACATGTGTCCTCTCGCTACTGCACATTGGGGGAGCCCCCTTTCTGCCCACGTCTGCTTCAGCATCTGCAGTTCCATCACCTGGGAACAAAAGCTTCAATTCCCAAAATAGGCAGGAAGTTGAAGCAAGAAAAGAGGGATCAAAGTTTAATAGGCAGAAAGTTGAAGCAAGAAAAGAGGGATCAAAGTTTTCATCTGGTAACTGCCTGTCTCCTATAAACACGACTGCGTGGAGGGAGGGAAGAAGCAGCAGGAGCATGCTGGGCCCTGAAAGGACAATTGGCAAGGAAAGGGCACAACAGGGAGGAGCCCACATAGGGGAGAGCTCTGCAGAGGGAGGTAAGAGACGAGTCCACTTCTCACTGCAAGGCAGGATGAGCCCAGAGTGGCCAATGTCAGACACCCGCTCAGCATGGGCTAGGATCAGTACAGGCAGGTGCCGGGTCTAGGACCCAGCCTGGTAAGGGGTCTCGTCTGGGAGTAGAATTAGAGGGTTAGGGCTCAGCCTATGGCCGGAGCTGAGACCCAGTCTGGATTGGGATCAGAGCTCTCTATGGCTGGAACTAGAATAAGCTTTATTTGAATGTTGTACTTCCACCAGGGAGCATGCGGCTGCCTGTATGCACAGTCCCTTGGCCTTCTGCAGGGCTCGGGCATCTCAGAGTCTTACACCACATAGACTTGAGAATTCCATCGGTTGGCACCACTTCTGAATGTCCCTACGGTGCCACCAGGAGATTTCTTACCCGCAACAGGTTTGAGATCTTACACTAATGAGGACATCGTGAGAAACCTTCACGTAGGTCCTGGCAAGTGACGACAGGACTGTTTCTAGCTTCAGAAACCCCGCACCAGACTAAACGAGAATCCGAGAAGGGATGTGATTTCTCCCAATTGACACAGCCAAGTAACACATCAAGGAGCAGGATCCGGTCTCTGCGCTTTCTTTTAATAAATTTCTGTGTGACCTTGGGCAAGTCACTCCCCCTCTCTGGGATTCAATTTCTCTACAAAGATAGAGAAATTGGTGGGTAAAAGCAGATGATTTTTGAAGGCCCTTCTAGCTCTGACATCCGAGAATCTCCTCAGGCCTGCCTGAATTCCATCCCTCTTCACCTTAACTCCATGAGTTGGCGCCAAGGCTTTTTCTCTTATGTCTGGAGCACTATAGTTATGAGGCTGTAGAGGAAATGGAATATTGGCCAAACCCAGTGAGAGGCACAGACCCCAGGGCCAATGAGGCACAGAGGAGGGGAGTTCAGAGTGGATCAGCTCACCAGGGAAAGTTTACTAGAAAAGGTGTGATCTGAGCAAGGCCATTAAGGGCTGACAAGACATGGGAAGCAAAGGGGAGGGTTGTGGGGCAGCACGTGAATGGTCCCACTTAACAGTCTGATTCTAGGTGGTCTTTCCAGCCCATATCAAGAGCAATGGTATCTGAATGAACACCTTGGGGACTAAGACAGAAGTGCCAGTGCAAGGAGGCAGACATGGAGAGAGCAACCTGTGAAGTCTCTTTTAAGAAATAATAGGCAGGGGCCAGAAGGTGGAGTAGTGGTTAAGGCGCTGGACTCCCATGAGGTTGACCACAGTTCAAGTTCCAGACCTGGCGGCCTGAAACTCAAGCCGAGTGTGTGTGCCCAAACTCCCGAGAGGAGAAGGTGATTACTCGCTTTCTTTCTCTCTCTCTCTGCCTCTCTGGTGATCGCACACACCCTATAGCAAAAATCTCTCTCTCTCTCAAAAAAAAAAAGGAACAACAGACAGGTGTCAGGTGGAAACCTCCAGGGTTCAAAAGAAGGAGGAGGAGACATTTACAGAGTACTTGGCATTATACGGGCACTTACCTCCTTTAATCCTTCCAAGAAGCCCTCAGGACAGTATCTCTCTTAGAGACACTGAGCCTCAGAGAAGTTACATCTTATGAAAAGCCACACGGATATGAGGGGCAGAGTTAGGACTCGAACCCAACACTGAACTCTTTCCATTGCTTGTTCCTAAGGGCTGCACGAGTCTCACGCTGAGATGACGAGACATGCGGCATAACCTCAGGAGCAGAGACAAGGTGGAAACGAAGTCCAGCACCATGCGCAAAAGGAGGGCATGGATGGAGGAGTTAGGCTGAGCACAGGAAAGGGCATCAGGACAGGAGTCAGAAAACGGGGTCTTCCTCCCAGACTCTGCTCTGCGTGACCGGGAGTAAACCGCTGGCCCTCCTTGGGGTTGGTTTCTCCACTGGTTATTTCAGGGTTGGAACCAAGCTCCTCCCTTCTCGTGAAGAGAAGCTTTGATTCCCAAGTGCAACATTCACATTCTCATAGCATTTTTAAGAGATCCACAGAGGATGGGCAGGGTGTCCACCAGCCTATTATGGGGAGGAAAGTGAGATTCAGAGAGATTCGATAGCCTGTTTGAGGTTGCACTGTGTCCAGGCAGAAAAGCATGATCAGGAAGCTGGTATTTTGAAAAGCGCCTTCTGCTAGTTGCCGTATTGTCTCTAATTCAATCCGCACAGCCGTCCTGGGAGTTTTCCTCCCATTTTATACGTTATAGGAAACTGAGGCGCAGAGAGGTGCCCTCTTCTGCCTGCCTTCTACCGGTTAGTCTTCAACCCAACTGGGATGCAGGAGAGCCTGGTCTACCCCACTGTCCCCTGCTGCCTCCCAGAGTCTTACTCCAAAGCAGACACGGGGGGT